TCACAAGACATACCAAAGACAGCGGTAACAACCCCATTTGGGCTATATGAATTCCTGCGTATGCCTTTTGGACTGACTAACGCGGCACAAACCTTTCAGCGGTTTATAGACCAGGTCATTAGAGGTTTACCTGGGGTATACGCGTATATCGACGATTTATTAGTAGAAAGCACCACTAAAGATGAGCATATACAACAACTACGGCAATTATTTATGCGACTCAGGGAACACGGCATTTCTATAAATATTGAGAAGTGTGAATTTGGAAAAGAATCTTTACAGTTCCTAGGTCACAATATAACTTCGCAAGGCATCACACCAATAGCAAAAGAAGTCAACGAAGTGGCAGACGCACTATCCAGAACGATGGTCAACGCTCTCGTCCAGTCCGAAATCGATTATCACAAGTTAGCAGCATTACAAAATATCGACGTCGAGTTAAACAGACTAAAGTCTGCCAATACAACCTCGTTAGTTCTCAAAGAAACTCCATTGGAAGAAGTAAGCATCACCTGCGATATTTCTACAGGTCAACCAAGACCATTTATTCCAAAACCGCTAAGACGAAACATTTTCGAAGCCATGCACAATATTTCACATCCCGGAATAAAGGCCACCATCAAACTAATCAGCGAACGTTTTGTATGGTCAAGTATGAATCGGGATATTCGTAATTGAACGCAAGCGTGTATAAAATGCCAAAGAGTTAAGATACATCGCCACACCAGTTCCGCAGTAGGTCATTTCCGTCATCCCGATAACAGATTCGAGCACATACATATCGATATTATAGGACCACTGCCGGTTTCCAATGGCTTCAGTTACATTTTCACTTGCATTGATAGATTCACACGATGGCCTGTAGCTGTTCCCATAAAAGATATTACAACCGAAACTATCGCAAAAACCCTAGTAGAGCCTTGGATCTCCCATTATGGCGTACCTACTAATATTACAACCGATAGAGGAGCTCAATTCGAGAGCCGCCTCTTCCAACAACTCACAGAACTACCCGGAATCAAACGAATTCGCACAACATCCTACCTTCCGATGTCGAATGGTATGGTAGAGAGATTGCATCGGCAACTTAAAGCTTCCCTTACAGCTGTCATCAGCAATAATGATTGGGCCAGCAAGCTACCGTTAGTCATGTTGAGCTTAAGATCAACAATCAAACAAGATATAGAATGCTGCCCAGCAGAATTGGTTTATGGAACCACACTACGTCTGCCAGGAGAGTTTTTCACCGCAGGTAAAAGCGTTCCAACTGATATAGCCGACTATGTACAGCGTCTTAAGCAGCATATGAGTAGTCTAAGGATAACGCTTCCGAGACAACATCAACGCCGTGTGTACATACCCAAACAACTAAGTGACAGTACACATGTGTTTATCAGAAGGGATAATGTGCAACGTCCCTTACAACCGGCCTACGATGGTCCATTTAAGGTGATTAAAAGAGACGACAAAACTATTACGGTAGACAAAGCTGGAAAAACGGATGTAATTAGCATCGACCGAGTCAAACCAGCTTTCATCGAAGCCTACGATCAGCCAGTACATACAGATACTGCGAAAACCGTTGAATCATCGAAACGTCAGTTCCAAAAATCAACAACGTTAACTCAACAAAAAAAACGAGACTCCGATAACAACAAGATCTGGCCGCAGAGTAAGATGGCCCCAACATTATGTTGCTACAATTTTCTATTAAGAATAATCTACTATTCGGAATATTAATTATAGCTTCTACTTCATTGTATACACATGCATTATCAGTCTCATGTTATACGCTATAAAACTCAACGTATCTTATGTACCCTTAAACTTATACGTATAATTTTTGTTTAAAATGTAAAGACAATACCGCATTCCTTCTATTCTTGCCATTATTTTATGTAACCTCACGGACGGGCGCAAACCAAATGTACAGCACACACTCTAACTTCATCTTAATTTTGTATAAGCCTTTTTTTTCAAACAATTGTAACTACCTTATTCAGTCTACTATTTTTTGTGTGCAAACACAGACATTTTCCATATATCTTTGTTTGCAGGGGAGAGCTATTATAGCGACTCACGTGCAAATGGGTTTATTCTCATTTAACTCAGTTAAGCCCTTTTGTTAACTTATTTAATGGACAAAGTCATCCATGATATAACAACTTGTTGTACTATCTTTATTATTATGCTTGTATGAAATACATATGCTTGAACATTGTTTAGCGCCTACGCATGTATTCATTCTGCTAGCTTCATTATTAACTGCTTAATCTATTCGCTGACTCATCTATATTCCCATACATATATATACCTGTACATTTTGCACGCATTGACTACAGCTACTTGCTACTGCTACAATCGTAGTTCGCTTGCTCATCCATTTTGCCTCTCTGCTGTCTGGTCCGAATTATCTACTAAATAAAACTGTAGTAGCTGCTTCTTTTTGCCTTCTGATTTCAAATATCGTTGAAGATTATACGATAACGGTTCGAGGGTGATTACATAACGAAGCACAGCCACTACAAGATGTCGCATCAGCTTCCTGACTCCTGAAAAGCTCAGTTCGCACTATGAGGCGTCATAATTCTTCTGAATGGAGATGCGTGAACTGGGAAGACAGGTTATCGTGTACAGGGTGGGGTTGTCGACCTTATGCTCAATTCTCCGCTTTTGTTCAGTGTTTGGCTCTGCAGTAATTCTTGGAGGGATACAGGTGGAGTTAACGGCTTTCGTTTTACTATGAATTTATAGTAGAACGGGTGAAAAAGTCTAAGTCCATTTTAAGAGAATTGCAACTAATAGAAAGGATTTTTAACACATATGTGTGATATGATGTAACTTACTGAATACACTGAGACCTCGATATTTCGGTGCATGTGAACGATCGCTCTCTAAAAACACCTCTGTTGTAAACCCTTCATCGAATGAGATCGTATAATCTTCACAAAATTTGGTGTCAAGGCTAATTAATTTGATAGAACAAAACACCTCGTGAGGACTGTGTCAGGATATGACTCAGACGTTTGAATGAGTGCTTTTTATGAATATGTGTTAAGGCTTATACGGTCAAGACCATTTGAGAACGGTTAAATACCCAAACAACTTGAAGCCTTCTGTGTTCATTTTTCTTTTATGATGGGTGATGGTTATCGTTTTGTGCACTTATCCTAACGCTTCTTTTCCGCAACTAATCATTGAACTCACGCCAAACAAACACTAAAACATGTGCTTAATCTAATTTGTTCAGTAGTAAAGGTACGAGATATCAGTAGTTGAATGACATCATCTGAGTCATTACTTTTCACTGATCGTGTCAAACTTTGAGAAAAACTTTCAACCAAGATAATGATCTTGTAACAGCATAGGTTGGTTGGTTAAGAGTTGACCCCAAACAACCAAGCATATGCCAAAACAGTATTGTTCAAGTATTCATTCACTTCCTTATTTTGTATAAGCATTATATTCCCTATTATCTTATATTGAATGTTGAAAGCCTTTGTTTGTCTGAACAGATAATCCCACGCTCCTCTGTGACTGCATTGAGATCGAAATAAAGACCTATTCACTACTTGTCTGGTTTCTTCTATCAATAGCACAAGGGTTGCCTATAGGCACGAAAAGCTAACACATAAAATAAATCTAATTATACTTCGAATTTAGGCGGATAATAATGCATTTAGCTTCAGCAATTCAAAGAACAAAACAGTCCACGTGGATAGCATTACATACTAAATATACAACCAAGGTGATTCACCTTTGAAAGTTTGGCAGGTACCCCATGACCTAAAATCCCAAGCCAGCTATGATGAAAATAAATTGAGAGAAAACCTTGTATTGGTATTGGTGAATCTCATTTTTACCAGTTTCTTAGTAAGAATTTCAACTTATTTTCTAACAGTTTTATTCAGTCATACATAAAGTACAGAAATGTAGTGTTTTTACATTCACTATAAAGAAATAAGGATGCACTAGAGAACATCCAACGGCGAGCTACTAAATCAGACTGTGGGCTCAAGTTAAAGCCTTATACAGAACGTCTCAAGCGAATGAACCTCATTAGAGCATACTCATTAGAGCATAGAAGTCCTAGAGGTGAACTTTAAGTTACTTACAGACAAAGATGCGACAGGTATTCAGAATTTGACAACGCATTTATACGTAACACCTTTATAATCAAAGTATCTCAACCCAGTGAAATCAGAATTTAAAGTTGAATAGGTTCGAGGAAACATTTACATACAAAGGATGGTTTGGTCTACGGTGCCTAAAAGTTATAACAGACGCGCAGCACGGCGTGACTGAGCACCTCTAGCTAGGGTATGTCCAGTAGAAATGATAAGGTCAGCATAGATTTTTAAACCCAGATATTTTTTATTTTAAGAATTCACTTAACACTGCACAAGATCATTAACAGTATTGAGCGTCCTCTTATATATATATACTTAATCTCAGTCTCAACACAAACCTAAGAGGTAACACCCAAGATCAGGAGACACAACCTAGCAGAGCGGATTGTGGGAACACTTTCCACTCCATAAAAGAGTAGTCAAATTCTGAGATTTTCTGCCTGATGGACTGGTACAAACTACTTCTCAGGGGTTTTTTAAGAGAAAACTTGACATTTTCTTGAGGACTAAGGACAGCGTCTCAGTGTATTTTACTAATATTTTTTCCCCTTTATCGTTAAATATACCTAAGTTTCTACCCGGCAGCATCAGTGATCTACTGCCACTAGTTACGGAAGACCGTTAAATGAATTCTTCCTTTATGCAATTAAGAACCATTTGAAACCATGTAATGAAGCGTTTCATAAATTAATAGATTATCATCCTTTGGAGTATGTGACTTAGAAGTGACTTTCCAATGTCTTACAGCATCTTTTCATAATTTAAGTACATAACTGACATATAAATATTTATTATTCATGTAAATTATTGTTATTTAAACCCGATATGTAGTTTAAGTAGTTTGTTCAATATGTTTGTTTAAGTCACCATTTCTTCTGTTAGCGCAGAGAATTGATTGAACTTAAGGTGTTTTGTTATAACTATCGTCATGACAGCCTCCCCTGAGCAAGTGGACAATTCATTTCAGAGTAAGTCAATTTCGAATTTGTACTCTTCTTATCGTTTTGATAAATTTGGATAGATCACTTGGATAATTTGACGTTTTGAGTGCTAATTGAAGTTTACTGTGTGTTAACTAGATAATCCTAAGGAAACCAATGAAACCGATTATTACCCCCATAGTCACATTTGATAGCAATATACTCCAGGAAGCAACGAACTTTACTGAAATTTGATCTAGTTGTTAGTGTCTCGGGCTTCTTGAGTGTTGGGTTGTGACTTTCATACAAATGTCAATGCGTTTTGAAAATCCTAGTCCAACTCCCAGTCCTAATATCTCCAATTTATAACCCTCATTTAAATCTATCAAGGTGGATATTTTCAAAGTCAATTTAGCGTCGCCCAAAGGTTGTCCGTAAATTGTGGTCACCGTTTAATATACTGTTCAAGGTTTCGTACACTGAACATCGTGTTATCTTAAAATATCCGACTTCAGTCAAGGTTCGATCATGAAACATTGCTTCTCTGTAACCACTGGCCACGATAATCAAGCGAATGGTATCCGTGATGTAAGATAATTTGGCCTCAGTTTACTCAGTAGCTATATTATTGGTGCTCACAGTATCTCATACTAATACATATATACACAGGTTATTAAATGTTTTACAGCTTACTGAAAAGTGTAGGTGCATATAGACTCGGGTCAGTCTTCAGTAAATACTTCCCATTTTAATGATGTGGAGTGCATGCTGTACAATAATTCATTGATTAAATGCAATTTGCGTAACTTGTTTCGGTGCATACTCAAAGTCTAAAAGTCTTCAGCTAACAGATCCATACTTCATACTTCAGCGTTGTCTTTAAAGTCTCATCGGTAGCAAAACTAAAGGTTAACGTTAAAACTAAAGAATCATGTTTCCTTCATGAAGCGATTAAAGGGAATAGTTGAATACCATCCATCTATTTTGTAATGTCTCCAAGATGTCGGTAGGTGCGCTGCATCTAACGACATATAATGCCAGATCACAGCCCTGTACAATAAAGCAGACAACCCTAATATTAAGAAACGATTGTCAGTCTGCAATAACAATGACAGTTCATGCTTTTGTAATCAATGCATATATGACCTTTACGGAAACCAGACTCCTCATGAGTCAGCCTCACAAGTTTTGCTCAATCTGTGGGGTATGACTGAAGTCGGTTTCTTAAATCCGACTGCAACCACATGCTCTGTGGTAATTATCTCATGTTTTATAGACACCCTTTTTCAAGGTAGGGACGGTAATCGTCCTGGTCTGAAATTAAATTCTTAACAATTAGATTCCTTAGCATAACAGTTCACTCCTATCCTCGAAAAATGTTGGAATCATGTCGTCTAACTGTTAACCTGCGAGGTTTTCGGTCATTGGAACTCAGCGTAAAACCTGACACAAGAGCACATCAATCCAAGTTGCCGTACCCTGTCAACAAGGATAATTTGTCACGGAAAATCCCAGTTGTCGTTTCCGAACCCTCACGTTGTTAGATGTATCCGTGCTTAACAACCACTAAAATACAAATCGAGTGGTGCCTCCTTGTACCAACGTGTTTAAATAAAAATAGAAATAAAACGTTTATAAGGCTCAAAATCGTTTACAATGGCGCAGGTGCATCCACTCTTTGTGTTCTCCCAAATTTTGATCTGATCCTCCCTTGTCTCTTTTTTTCTCTTCCCAAGTTTATTTCACTGTATTCTACTGTTTAAGTAACATCTCCAAACACTAATCTTTCCGATTACTGCTTATACTCTTATTACCTCTACCACTACGGGATTTGAATCGACCACTGCATCTCTGTGCTAATGTGGTGTGGCAACTCGAACTGATGTACGTACGTACTAAGTTCTACGTTGTTACTGACTGACTGACTTATAAGGCTCTTAGGTGATGTATTTCTGGATATAGGTTGCCTACTTTTTGAAACCTATCTAGAAATAATTAGTCTATCTGCCACCTACCTCACATGTTTCGCTGATGTCAGGGTTCTCTCTGTTAGTGTTCTGTTCGTTACGTTACTAGCCAATTAATAATGTGGGAATACACTACGTAGCCACCCGCTCTCATGCCGTTGATATGAAACAATATGAAAGAAGAAATGTTTCAGGCACATGTTTTTAATCATGTGTCTTCGAAGCATTGCTTGTGTATCATAGGATAACTGGTTAAGCGATTCTGAGGTTAAACATAGGGTACAAAACAAACATGACAAGTCGGTTGATTTGACTTTAGATCTCTTTTGATTGTGGCGGCTTAGACGTGTTACATATACCCCTTGATAGGGAATGTTTTCTTGAGCAAACGTAGGTTCAAAGAAAACGAGGTCGGGAAACTCAAGAAATAGCATTAGCCCATAAAATCATTGACACAGATTGAGTCGTTAGTAGATATAGACTACCATGTTAGAATGTGCGCAATAACTGTGATCAATAGTTTGAAATGTTGGGAACAGTTGCACTGGTACGGATCCGTCCATTATTTGTCCTCCCCTAGATTTTGGGTTTTAGTATTCATAAGTACCTTCCTTCCGAATTTTATTTCTCATGTTTATTCGTTTTCATAAAAACTGCTTCCATATTTTCCATTCTGTTCATCGTGTTCATTTTATTTTTTCTCAATGTGGGACAGCAATTTGGGCTAATGCATTTTTGTACTAGTTTCTACATTTTTAAATCGAAAAGGGTTTGTTAATTGTTTCGCGTTAGAGACTCATGCTTTGACATATTTTTAGTCTGCCAATGTAGACGGACCGGTTTCGTGAAGTTGTAAAGAGCTTTGGAAAGCCTTGTATTTAGATGCCAGACATTTATCATGTCTTGAGCAAATTTATTTGTTATTTTTATGACATCCTGCAAACCCACCCTCTGCTCGTCCTCACTCTTTATTAAGCTAATATGTCTTGATGTTTGATAAATCTGATTGTAGCCAATTTGTTTACATCAATCTACTTCTGGCAGTCAGTTGCATGCAACAAATCGTTTCAAATTACCATATCATAATAGCACAGTGTGATAAAATTCTCAAGCCACACCCTAGGTTAGTAGGAGTAGTAACAGCATCATTAGTAGTAAGTGAGATTAGTTATAGGAAAAAGTATAAGATTTAGGTGCGTAGGGTCTAAAGGAAGACGAAGAATGAGAGGATTCTCGCTCTCTCGATCGATTCAAAGTCATGTCACCCAGCATCTCTAATCCCTAGTTAGGATGATCACGCAGACTCCAACATGTTTTGGTTCGACGGTTAATGGCCCTGTGGACTAATGTCACGTTTTACTTAACAAACACTAGCAGCGGCCTGATGGTTGAGACGTTCGACATAGCCACTAAGTCCCAGGTTCGAGACCTATATCTACGCCGTTTAGGCGACTGGGTAGTACCAGTAGCCCTCCTAGCGTGACCCTTTCAAATATCTGCTGAACAGATAAGTCATTATACTCGTGAACCAGGCAACATCACCTTCCGAGGTCGTTACGGTCAGGCTTACGTAACATCTCAATTCAGTATCTTGCCAACCGGTTCATCATATATACCTAGTACCTTATGCCTAACTTCAACACTAGTTACTCGGTAGTTTCAACATAAACGAGCAATGCTTTGGGGACACCTATGATCAAATACTGGTAATCCACGAGTATCTTAGGCACTACGTCTCACAGTCATAAAGTAGGACAAAGCGGACTGCTGCTCAGTAAACTTGCCCTGTGTTCGGCTTATCAATGTTTCATCTGCACAACAGGTGATGCATATTAGCAAAAACCAACCAAACTATCTGAACCCCTATCCACTTAGGACAGTGACTTTTCTGATCACGGCAACGCAACGTCGTGAACATAAGTTTACAAGAAGTGGTAGACCTCTGCACAACCATACTACTAGTTGATTGTAATATAGTTAGCGTTAGTTCAAGTTGGACTTCAAATAGCACATTGTCGACGACTCCTGGAAGTTACTGTTAACTAGCAATGACTGATTTATATAAAACTGAAAAACATGAAACTCACTGTTCAAGCCCCCAGTGGGCACAACTTTATTTGTCGAATGGGTTTAGTCGGAATCACCTACTTGAAAGTTATTAACATGTTTCTAGATATGCAAATATTCAGTCGTTCTTGTCTTCCACACTTTCCAAGGTCGAGCTAAGTTACACTTGGTTCCTGTAGACAGGTAATCACATGCCCCATAAGGCAGCTGTCAAAGTTCGGTCACATGTAACCTTTTTATTAGTCCTGTATTTCTCAGACCTAACCCTCGGCATTACTAATCGATTGGACATGGTGTAATGTGACATTTTTAGTCTCTAAACTTGGTGAGAATGCAGCGCCGCTCAAGCTACTGGTTATTTTTAAATTCACCCCTTCACAGTCGGCAGTATAAATCCGTTCTCTGGCGGTTCGCTAGTTTTAACCTTATTACCGTTCAATTAATCTGTCATTGTAGGACCTCAATGGCAGTATTCAGAACAACAACTTGGTTAAGTCATCACAGTAGACAAGGCTGACTATTATATCAAGGGAACATTTATACTCGAGTTTCTGTAACTCAGTGTTTGTATACTTGCTGCATCGTTTACCTTAATTATTCATGCCTGAGCACTTGAATATGAAATGATAAACTTGAGTAATGTAATTGCTTTTGAGTGGGCAATCGCATACCATACCGTCTTGTATGGCGTGGGTTGAGACTACTAAAAAGTATTTTGTAATCATGTTTAGATTTTGTTCTTTCTCCACTCGCCTGTCATGACATTCTTCCAGGTAAATAGAACAGCTAAATATATATTTTCACTGGTCATAATGTATCATACACGATCGGCCGTGTTGCACCATCTTATTTGTCAGCAGGAGGAAGTCAGTATCGAACGTCCATAGTTGTAAAAGTTTTAGAAGCAACATAATAATTGCTTCAAAGTTTTTTAGTGGACGACGCCATGTTGTGTGATTCATTCTCTCCACAAGAAATGTTTGACGAAAAACATGCTCACTACTTCCAGCACAGTTCAAGAATATGTTAGTGCATCATGCTTAACCGCCTATTGGATAATACAATAATTTCTCATCACTTAATAAACGTACGACTGAATAGTTTCAGTGTTCATTATTTTAACGGGAGTTATTTTACTAATTAATTTTAATACTATATAAGGAAAGACAATGTTGCCTTGTTCGTAGGATAATAATAATCAATATCTGAATGATAGACAACATAATCATCGGGATTGTCTATTTACTCAACTAATTCACCAGGTGAATTAGTGTACTTGGCTTCGGACCAGATCAAGTTAGGAGGTCAATCATACTAACTGGCTGGCGAGTTGGGTTTCGGACTTGTGACTTGATTACTGAAAAACCGATGCCTTAATCGTTGACCTTATCGCCTTGAAATGTTTAAGACATTACATTTCATTAAAGTCTCAAACATCTTCATGTTCTGATATGATAGTTCTGTCACCTTTCATTTTGATTTTTCTTTGCTCTTGATGTCCATCATTATCGTTCCCTAAGTTGTAATTTTAGATCTCTCCATCTAATTCAGTTTGCTGCAGCCAAATGTACTTGGTTGCTTAAAAAATTTACCTCCGATTTCTCATTTTCGACACAAATGTAACAACTAAATTTGATATATTGTGCCTAGTTTTACGTTATCTTTTATGTGATAAAAAAATTATAACGTTCTAGTACATTCAGATGCAAACTAACACCAACTTAGTGTTTATGTTCGTTCTGCAATCTCCGTTTAATGGTCCTGTTGTTAAATTTCAATTTTACCATATGACAAAAGATATCCATGTCTCTTGCTTTTAATTGTAGACGTGTTCAAAGCATTGTTTGTGGTTAGTGGGTTTGTATTGTATCAGGTCAGTCAGTCAGTCAGTAACAACGTAGAACTTAGTACGTACGTACATCAGTTCGAGTTGCCATACCACATTAGCACAGAGATGCAGTGGTCGATTCAAATCCCGTAGTGGTAGAGGTAGCAAGAGTATAAGCAGTAATCGGGAAGATTAGGGTTTGGAGATGATATTTAACGAGTATAATCCAGTGAAATAAATTTGGAAAGAGGAAAAAAAAGGGGCATGAAGAATTCAGAAGATTAGAATTTGGGAGAACATAAAGAGTGGATGCACCTGCGCCATTGCAAACGATTTTGAGCCATGTCATTCAGGGTCTCTAACCATCGGTTGCTATCATCTCGCGGTCCCCAACCAGGTAGTTTACACCTACCAACATGACTCAGTCCACTTGTCAGTGACTTCATGGATTTGTGCCATGTTTTGGTCTGGCCGCCCCTAGCTTTCTTCCAACCTACTCCTATACCACTGAATATAGCGCGTCGAGGTAGTCGGTGGTTGGGCATACGTAACACGTGTCCCAGCCATCTCAACTGATGAAGTTTCACTACTTCATCAATTGATTTGCCATCCTTACCTAGTACCCGTTTCCTAACAGTTGCGTTACTTACTCGGTGGTCCCAGGATATACGAGCAATACTTCGAAGACACCTATGATCAAATACTAGTAACCTACGAATATCCTCTACTCTTACCGGCCATGTTTCACAGCCATAAAGTAGGACGGAACGAACTGCTGCGCAGTAAACACGTCCTTTGGTTGGTAGACGGATATCTCGTCTACGCCATAAATGACGCAAGTTGGCAAAAGCTAGTCGAGCCTTCTGTATCCGTGCTGAGATTTCGTCACACACCAGACCACAAGGGCTGATGAGACTTCCAAGATAAGTGAAGCGGTCGACACACTCAACTACTTCACTCCCTATCACTAGTTCGGGTGTCGATGTAACCCAATCCTGAAGCAACATTTTGCATTTCGAGGGAGAGAATCGCATCCCGAACATGCTTGCATTGTTGCTTAGAGTGGTCAGAAGACTCTGCATTTTGTCAGCGTCTTCACCAAATAAAACTATGTCATCTGCATATTCTAAGTCAACAAGTGAACCTCCCGGTAGAAGTTCAACCCCCGGAAATTTAGATGAGGAGAGTGTTATCTCTAAAAGTACGTCGACCACAAAGTTGAACAAGAATGGGGAGAGTGGACAGCCCTGACGAACACCACTTGAGGTAATCAATTCTGATGACAGTTCGCCGTAAGCTCTCACTCTACCAGTTGTGTTCGAGTAGAGAGCCTTTACAAGGTTAATGTACTTCTTTGGTACTCCTTTCAGTGACAAACACTGCCATAGAACCTTACGATCAACAGAGTCGAATGCCGCCTTAAGGTCGAGAAATACTACCATTGTGGGGCGTCTAAACGTGTGTCTGTGTTCTAGAACCTGACGTAGTGTGAATATCTGATCTATACAACCACGTCCAGGTCGAAAACCAGCCTGATTTTCTCGAGTCTGCTCTTCACGAGCTTTGATTAGGCGTCGAAGTATTATTGAGGCTAATATTTTAGACACTATATTAGTCAAACTGATTCCTCTGTGATTGTCACAAGAGGACTTTTGTCCTTTCTTATAAACTGGCACAATCAGTGATTGAGACCAGTCAGATGGGATTACGTCCAGTTCCCAAATTCTACCTAAGACCTCGGTTAATCTCATTGCTAATACTGGACCACCATCCTTAAAAATCTCAGGAGTAAACCTGTCAGGGCCTGCTGCTCTCCCTCGTTTCAGATTTCCTATGGCTTTTTCAACTTCGTAACGAGTCGGAGGACCTACATTAACTTGCCATTCAGGTTGACTGGAGATCGTGGGAAACCGAAGTGTGGCTGAAGGCCAGTTGAACTGATCCCTAAAGTGTTCTGCCCATCGATCCAATCTCCTGGATTGAGAATGAATAATATGTCCATCTTTCTCTGAGATTGTTTCGCTAACAGTCGGGTTCCTAATTCCGGTTTCCTTAACGAGTCTAAACAATTGTCTGCTATTACCTATTGCCGTTGCCTTTTCCATCTCTCTTGCTTTCGCTACCCACCACTGTTCGCGATCATTGCGTAGACTTCTTGTTAGTTTGCGCTTAAGCTGACTCCGCTCTTCACTATGTTCAGAGCCAGGTGGAATGAGTTTCCGAGTATCTATCAGTGCGATAGATGCTGCTGAGATCCAGTGTTGCTCCCTAACCTTCTGGTTTACCTTACTAACAGATATCACTGCTGTTTCCACAGCTTTTCGGATATCATTCCATGCTGCCTCGGGGTGGGCATCACATACATGGCTGCCTAACTGTTTTCCTAGTTGTTCCTGAAATATACTCTTAGCTTGACTATCATTAAGTAGGCCCCTAAGAGGTTTCCTTGCAGCGGTTTTCCTACGTCCAGTAAGACGCAGGCAAATACGCGCTCGTACTAGAGCATGATCTGAATCTAGGCATGTGCTCCAGAATGAGCGACAGTCTTCTATCGAGCCCCTCCATCGGTGGCTGATAGCGATGTGATCTATTTGGGTCCAACGTTGGGACGAATTAGGGGGTCGCCATGTTAAAAGATGTTTTTCCTTATGCTTAAAGTTAGTATTTGCAAGGAACAGGCGATTATCTGAGCATAGCTGCAACAGACGGTCGCCATTATCTGTTCTTTGAGCCACTATACTATAAGATCCACCCAGGTGTCTTTCCCTATCGCTTAGTTTACCTACTTGAGCATTAAAGTCACCGGCCAGTATTACTACATCCGAGCGCTTAGCTTTTCGGAGAAGGTCCGAAAGCTTTCTGTAAAACTCATCTTTTACATCATCTGAGCTGCAGTCAGTGGGAGAATAGGCAGAGACGACGAAGAGGCAACGACGAGTGTCCCTATCTTTCCGGGTTCTTACTGTTCCGTTCAGTCGGACAGCGCACAAACGACTGTCTACTGGGATCCACTCTAAGAGAGCTAGTTCAGCCCTAGGACTCAATGCTATACCTACGCCGGCGAGGCCACGGGAAGCAGAATCAGGGCTTCCAGATACACGAAGCGTAAATCGAGTCGGTTCTTTATTTTGGCATGGTGAGGTCAAATGAATGATGCTACTTGGATCCTGTATGCGCGTTTCGGAGACGCAACACACATCGATGGCGCGAGATTCTAAAGTCCTAGCTAAGGAAGCCTGCTGTCCTATTTGGCACAGTGTTCGGACGTTAAAAGCTCCTACGTGTAGTTTAGAGCGTGGTTTGAGGAGACCAGGAATAGAGTTCCACGTACTCGAATCGTTTGCCCTAGCGGTGCGAGGTGATAAAGAGACGTGAGGAGGGTTAGTCATGGAGATAAGAGAGGTATTAGAAGGTGTAGGAAGGATTTGAATGTGACCAACTTGGTCTCGCGTGCTGTTACGGGTATGAGGGCTGATGTCACTTCCCGGCTGCCCACACCGTGGAAGGGTATTTCTTGAGGAACCTGAAAAGGAAATTGGATTAGTGTTGGTCTTAACGACCTGGGAGCGTGACCGCAGAGCCCAAGGGACAACTGCTTGAGGCCGGTCGCGCACGGCCTTTTTGTAGAAGGTTTTTGACGTGTTAGCTCCGTTCTTCAGATGGCCTTACCGCCGGAGACGGAAATCCGTGAGGTAAGGTGAGGTGTGACATTTTTAGGGTCGACCTTTTCTAACCCCACCCCTCCTTGTGGGAAGGCAGCATCGCTGTCATGCTGATTGTCCGAAGGAAACACCTTACTGCTGTCACACCTCTGTACAGTCAGCAGTACGACTTCGCCCTCAGACTTTGAGTTGCTGCTTTTAGTCTTACCGTTCACCAATCGACCTGCCTGGCATGGTAGAACCTACAGGAACATATGTTCCAGCCAATATAGCTCGGATGGGTCATCACGATAGGCAAGCCCGACCACCACGTCAAGGTAGCAGCTTCGGTCGGGATTGTATCAGGTAAACTACTTACGTACTCAACTGACTGATAAAATTGTTTTATCGTTCATCGACTAGTTCGTGGTACCCCAGAAAATTTATATCCTTTCTCAATTTTTGTTGATATAAATTCTTTCAGCCTTTAAAAATTATCGTTTTTAGGTATTCCGGAATCTGAAACTCATTTCCGAAGTGGAAACTTAGCACTCTCTCACCTAGATGATGTCATCGATTCTGTAGTTTCTGAAGCTATTGAATACGCGGATAAGCCACCAGAAGAACGAACACTCCCCAAATTAATCCGTAAAGCTCCACCACCCCCACGTGTTCGGCCACCTTTAAATATGGGCGAATTTAATCAGGGGCGTAATTTCGCCACACCTAATGGTCTAAATCAAATGCCATTTCTAACTGGTGGTAATCAGTTTCAACAAAAACTTAATGAACAGTTCCCAACCATGGTCCCTTTCAATACTGGTCAAGCTGCTACAGCAGCGGCGGCAGCAGCAGCAGCTGCTCAACAACAATTACTAATGCAATACAATGGTCAGTACCCGGCTCAACAACCACAGCAGCAACAACAACAACCGCAACAACGTCAACAACAACAGCAACAGTACTCTCAAGCTGCACATTTCCAAGCTCTACAAAACCAACAAGCCCAATACCAGGCAGTGAATGCGGCTGCATTGGCCCAAATGCAACAGTTGCAACGTCAACAAATGCAGGTATGTTTGGTATTTTGAAAGACTAGTGTATATGCCTTTTCCTTATTTTTTTTTACTGTTTTGTGTGATTTAAGATTCGACAGTAAGAAATTGTAATAGTAATAACTATTTGTCATATTGTTTACGTTACAGTCTATTATCATTGACTCTAAAAAAACGAGCTTAAACTCTACATTTTTGGGGAATGCTCCTAAGTGCTTGTTTCAAATTAAATTCGCTTTTGTGGTCTTCGTCCCTGACTGTGTAGTGTTTTCTTTAAATTGTTCACTGGTGGTGATGTGTGATTTTTTTTGAGGTCCCCATACATTTAATAACTATTCGGCTTTTTAGTTTGTTTTTTATAGTTACGACAAATGTCAATGAGTTTAAGGATATGTGTCATTCCATTCGTTGAATTGCTAGGACTCTTGAAATTCCTTAACCATTCGAAATTAAGAATGAACAAACATGATGTCTTTATATTCAGTTAAATCCAATTACTAATGTTTATTGTTGTTGAATTCCAGTGCAGTGTGATTGTTCGTGTATATAGTCTAACAGATTTGTTTCATATCTCTGTTTTATCAATAGATGTTAGATTCAATGTGCTTTTTATACGATTGAGTGTCAATACGGACTTTCTGCTTATATCACAATTTCAGTTTGATACTTTTAGCACCTTATCGATCAATCATATACACTATTAATGGGGGAGGAACTTTTAACTTATTGAGATTATAAGTATGGGTTTTTCAATAGTGGTCTAGCTTAGATCGTCTCGTGAATTCAACTGTGATAATTGAGGTTTCACAGATTCACATTCATATTTCTTATATTCAAGTCGTGATATCCAAAGCTTTCCGAAGTTTCATTCACAAGACACATTCACTTTAGCAGTTGCCTTAGTGGCAGGTGTTATTAAGAAAAAATACTCTGCATCCATAAGCAATTAAGTTAGGTGCTCTGTTTGCTTTGTGAGGTTAAGCTTTGAAGGCATTTTTCCACTAGTGCATTCCACACCCCACAATTTCACTTTTTTGTTCATACTCTTAATAAAACGTATTTGTATTTGTATATTTTTTCGATAGGCTACATTTTCCATAAGTCGTTTATGCTAGAAAAAACCCGACCTGAAAATAGATTTACTGTCTTTTCGTAAAACCTTAAGAATTGACCGTGTTTCGTTTGTCTTTGTTTTCCTCTTCCCCACCACCCACCCTATAGCTATTGTAGTCAGACCTTGTTTATCATTAGTCATTGACTGGGTAGAGAAAAAACTGGTTAGCATGTGAGCGACATACAGACAGGACATAATGCATATGTAGAATCTGCGTTGGCGTGGTTCTTAGCACATTGATATATAATATTGACCCTGACTAGTCTTAGGTTATTTGTCTGCATGTCTAACCAAAAAATCTTGTCAGCCAATTTTTAAAGTTTAGTCTGTCGGTCCACCAACAAAAATAGTTGAACAAAAACTGTCAACGCATTTTTATTTATTTATCTGAAATGGCAATCGTGTATTCACATTACATAGTTGTAGTATATTCAAGCTGAAAGAAACAACAGTGACTACATTGAAGACTGAGTTCATTTGTTATTAATGTTCACAACTTATTGCAAGTGAACAATAAGACTTATCTATTATATTTGATCATCGCTGGTCGTTTCTTGTGTAATTGGCGATCTGTACAAATTCATGATCGCCTTTTAGCCTAGTGAACTCAATCAGAAATGAATTTATTCTATTCTATATTTTTGTACGCTAAACGTCGTGTTCAGATAATTTAGCAGTTATGGTGTCTAGTTTCCTCTAACCTTACCTACTTCGCTTTGGCCAGAAGAGTATTATTAATATCGCTCACATAAAGTGCGACTTAAAGAAGGGTTCCCAAATCTGCATCCATGCGAAGGGTGAATCGGAATTTCTCTTATTGAGGATGTCAACTTTCTGTTTCTGCGCCTAATTATAAGCTTTTTCATCCAAAATTAATAAAACAACATCCTTGGCGGCGTTAAATTGAACCGTTCTTGATAAGTACCTATCTATGATAAAGTAGTTGTCCAATGATTCCTGATTTTGTCTAGCTTTAGTGAGTTTCTGATGTGAACTACAAGAGATGAATGATGTGCACATGTCTCTGTTAGTATCAATCTACAAAGTTCCCTGCCGTTTATGTTACGTTAGTATATCTAATAAAAACGACGTTTATTGTTGTTTATATCAACATGATTATAAGAACGAGTCTTGCTAATTTGTAAAGATTCTTGTTAGTTTATATCTCATACTTTTCACTTAATAGAATTGTTATAAAGATCATTGTTAGGATTTTATTGGTTGTATCACTTATTTTTATTTTTGATCACCAAACAGGGATTCAACATTATACCTACTTCTAGTTATTATCTCAACAATTTAACAGATGAACTTATAATTGTTGTATTTGCAAATGCTTTTACGAGGCTAAAGTTTTACTCATGGTAGACTATAACTGATAACCAACTTCACTTTAGATCGGAATTATTACCTTAACAATCTCATAAGAAATGATTTCAGAAAAAGGCTTTTACTCAACATAGTTATATGAATTTATTTTGAATGTTCTCATTCAACAATGAGATGAGTATTTAGCTTTTAAAAATTAATTTGAGCTATTTATTAAAAAAATGGGAAATTATGAAATATCCTCTAAATATCTTATCAGGCAGTGATCAGTAATCGCACTTCAATAAAGAATAAAAACTACCCAATTAGTATCATTTTGTGTGTCAATTTTCTTTAGTTTTTTCTTGGATATACTTTTAGAAATAATCACTAACCTTTTCAAGGATTACTCTAATGGAAGATTTATTTGTTAACGTGGAGTATACACGGTTTCTGTCTAGTTTTTTAAAATGTTAGTTTGCTACTTTCATCTTTCCTATTCTTCCACAATATTGCTATTCGACTTTGTGTGGTAAATAATCATTGTTTCAGGTAACTTGAAACCTTGTCGAGGTAGCAAAAAACTAGACTAGTTTTCGTCAATTTGCGTTACATGTGGAAAAGACAGTGTCTGTGTTTTGCTTATCAAAAAGAGAGTATACTATGTGACGGTTCATTGTCTTACTTTATGACTAAAATACGGTCATTGAATGCTAAGGAATTATATTAACTGCAGATTTTCGACGAGTGAAAACTGAGCTATAATAATGGAAATTATGGAATAACACCAATCACATGATTTACGAGAATTTAGAAATTGAGAGTGTCTTCATTAAAGCTGGAATTAATCCACATTATACAATATGTATCTCTTTTGTATGTTCTGTCATTGGTGTTCTATATTCGTTATTAAATCTTATTTCCCCCTCTTCAAGCTAGGTTTCTCATGTTAGACCCAGTGTTTTTCTCCCTGGTTATTTGCCTTTTTAATATATTGATCGATTTGTCGACTTAAGTTGGGAAATACGTGTACCGAATCTTCGAAACGTGTATTACTTAATGTTTCATTCTCTGTAAAGTCATGAAATATAAACTTTCACCAGTTATTTTGCTTGACTTTGTATTCCATTCTATCTGCTGAGGAGTTATTTGTCAGTACCTGACAATTCATTGCATTACTGTGTACACTATCATTTATGGTCTTTTTTGACTCCCTTGGTCGTGTGATTTGTTTTTTATGGCTGTCATCTAAAAAACGAGTAATATCTACCAACCATCACACTTTATAATTTTTTTCTGTTAGCTTTTTATTGATTAGTATCTAATCAACCTGATAAGCAGTCATCGACAGACCATTAGATTTTCTGTCACATTTTACGTACTGAACGATGAAGTTGTATGACAGCCAGTCAGTTACAAATAGAAGGAATTATTAGGAAACTCGAGTGGTACTACAAGGTGTTGGTGGTTGACGTTTTGCTCATTCATTATCTAATATTTTCTATCGGTCATTGAGAATATTATTCCTATAAAATTGTTTCAAATACGTTGTCTTAACATGTGTCATGTGAAATATTACGGTACGTTTCTTGCTAATTTGATTATATCTTAAAACCAATGAATGGTAGACGGGGTGTGTAAGCCAGAAAATCCTTTATATCACTTTTTCGTTTTTCTCTAGCGTCAGCAGCAGCAGCAACAACAACAACAAATGTCTACTCCTAATCGGCATATGTTATATTCAGCATCGGGTTCTCCTCCTATCAGTCCAGCGGTTATATCAAATTCCCCAGGCTCGCAACAACAACAACAAGCTTTAGCTTCTGCACAACAGCAGTTACATCAGTTATATGCAGCTGCTCATCAGTTACCTGGTAATTACTACTGTCTTATGGACATTGTTTAAAAAAATAGATTTACATTTATTGTCACTATAATTATGCCACTAATAATTAACTCTACAGGGTATCAGTAGTATTCCTGCTAATGTGTATGTAGTCTCTCATCGAGATCAATACACTTTTCTATATGGCCTTTTCTTACTCAGTTGGGTTATGGATAGGTACTTATCAATGTTTGGTTATTTTACTTTATTTTGTTCGAAATATATGGGAACACAACCGAATAAACTATCAGTTACTTAACATTAAAGGTTATAAATCCCTTGGTAGATGCGGTTGTTCGCGACATTAATTCGTAGAAAAACGTTTTGGTAAGCATTTTTAAATGAGGATGTTTGAAACGAAATCGTTCAAGCAACCGTAACTAACCTTCAATAACTTCCTGGTGTAGTTACAGTTTGGTTGAGATTTATTTTTCAGCTTATTGTTTGCATAACTTCACTGTAACGAAAGACCCTACAATACTCTTGGATTCTATTGACTACTTTAAGTCGTCACGAAAGTTGTATGGTTATTTTTAAATATATGTACAATTATCCTTTTGTATCAAACCAGATGTATTTGGTATTCAAACTTATAAAGTCTTAAACTCTTGGGTGAGAACTGCACTGACTAATTAGGTCTTTTGCGGAAGTTAAGGTGATTCATACTAGGTACCTATACTTCAGTTGTATCCGGAGATGATTTACCCCTTCTAGATACAGCTCTGTTTCAAAACCTATGTTGATCCGATAGTGGCATTATATATACACCATGTTCTCAACTCGTTCATTTCACCTTCCAGTTTCTGAAAGGTAATGTTAGTTCTTTTAGGACGTTATTACGTTATTTATTGTTTGTTCTTTGGGTCGACGGGTTAGTCACATCAGTACTGTTTAAATACTTCGAACTGTAAACAATAGTTATGTTTGTTGAACATCATATCTGTGTCACACAAGATTTTAGAAAGTATTAATGAGTTTTTCAAACTCTTTTTCTCTGTTGTGAGTTAAAGATGTCAGTCCATTACTGTTTTCCAGTTTTCATTCCGTATGAAAAAAGGATTATAAGTTGTTGCTGTCTATTGTCGCCATTTTACTAAAAATGAGGAAAATGCTTGCGGCAAACTAAACTGAATGAGGCTTAAAATTTGCTGAATGTCTCCTAGAAAACACCATGGTAATATTTGTGAAGAAGGGTTTGTATTTTTGTTCTCTTTTGAGGTCAGTAAGTTGGTAATCCACTTCAAGCATTTAGTTCAGAATGAAAGATTATTGAAACATGAGATATGAGGGAGATGATGAAAAGTAAATTTATTTACACCACTGCACCTATGTATGATCATCGGTTACCACAACTATGCAGACCCTAACCAAGTAGTCTGCACCTACTAACACGATTCAGTTCAAGCGTCTGTGATTTTATGTACTAACACCAGATATGTGTTTAACCGCTTCTTAGTTGTCTATCATCCACGTCCTACATTGATAAACATCGTGGATCGAGGTGACTGGACATACCTACCCAAGTGGTATGACTTGCTTAGCTTGAATTTATGTGTATTATATTTAAATATCTATATCAAATGTAAGCTTTTAATTAAGGCCCTAATTCTGTATGTCATATAATTTTCGAATTTATAACCAAGCCACTTCAATGTATTTTGTTATCTAGGTATGATGCAAACGTTCCCTCCGAATCAAGGACAACAACAAGCAAACATTCAACAAACTATACAAGCTCAACAACCTCAAGTACAACAACAACAAGTATGTAATCAACGCGTTTGGACAAACGCTGAACAACTTCAAGCAGCTCAACAACAACAGCAACAGCAATTAGCGGTTGCAGCAGCTGCTGCCGCAGCGGCGTTTAATCCCAACTCAGTACAACAACAATATATGCAACAACAACAGCAACAACCTTCACCCCAACAACAACAGCCGAATCAAGCAGCTCAACAACGTATGACAAACGATTTCCAAGCCTATGCCTATCAACATTAAATTTTGTAAACAGAACAAGAGCAAAAAACCTCTTTTCAGTCAAGAAAATTAGTCTACGTTTGTAATGTTCCCTATTCATATATATATAAATTTTTTGTGACTTTATTTCACGCATTTGCCTGTATGTGTTGACTCATCCACTACAAATCTGCAATTTAAAGAGATAAATTCAATTTCTAATATTTTTAGCCTGTCAACAGCTGCCTTCTCTCGTTTATCTCTACATCACAATCTCAACGATCTTCCTTATTCTTCTTTTTTCTTAACAACTACTAATCAAAGGTTTCGTGCCTTGTTGTTGCATTTGTGTTCTGGATCATTATCTTCTTTCAACTTTTCTGAAACTCTAAATAGGTGTATGTACATGTTTGCATTGTTTATTAATAAAAAACCTGTTGTACAGCTAGGTCGTTTTTGTTTATTCACTTATATCTTTAAGATACTCAACATCATTACTTAAATTCTTACACAGTGTACGCATTTAATTTTTTTTTTTAAATTTTGTTTTAAGAATCTAATAATTGTCCAGTTTTTCTTTGGGAACAAATTCTCTGCAATATCTCATATATATCGAGTTAAATGTATGCCAACAACTTCACTGATGCTTCATTATTTACCTAATGACCATTAAGTATTCTTAATTTTTGATCTGTTTTTCTATCGAATACTGTAAATTTATGACATTCCATATTTTTAGGAGATATGTATGTTAAGTCAAATTTTTCTATTACCATTTTACATCACTTATTAAATAGCGACTTCACAATTCATGCATATAATAGGGAACTGTGGTATGTTAAATGAAATCCAAGTTTCTACCTCTGTCAAAAAGAAAACATGGATTTCTTTCATATTATTTATGTGTGTGTAAGTTGATTGTTCTATTTTTACGAAAGGAAATTTAATAATAACTATTCTTATGACACTTTGTAATTTCACACCATCTCCCATTTATTGTTTTATTGGACAATCATTCTATTCCAGCCAACAAATCTATAATTCATAATGCACTTAATTATTTTTTAGTTCATCGTAATGCTGGGTTTTTTATCTGACGACATCAGTAATTTACAATTTCTGTTTGTCCAGTCAGTAACTTGGACTTGCTATTTTTATTCTCCTTTTTTTCACTAACATTACTATTACTACAAGATCAGTGTTCATTATCCATATTACCTTTTTACACATGGATCGCCTCTATTTTTCAACTTCGTATGTTCCTTATTTGTTAGTTCTCTATATTCTATTGGAAAAGAACAAAACTTTGTGACGTATTTACGCTTATCAGGATAATTATTGTTACTACTATTATCTCTTTTTCCTGTATCCTATTCATTGTGTAATTCATGTCAAAAGAAGACAATGTCCATACATATAAAGTTAAACTTTTTTGTTTTATGGTGTTCGGGTATTGTTTCATTAACATATTTAAGCGCCTAACTTATTCACCATGTAAGATTGTCTTCAAGCGATATGTGCAAATTTATTTCAACATCAATCAATAACAATCTAAATCATCTAGTTTATGTGAAAACTGGCTAGGATGTTTTGAATCAGCAATATGTTTTTCTTGGTTGACACGATGCCACACAACGGAATGCTAGAAAAGTGTTCAAGAATGAACGGAAGTGTAAACTAATGAGTATATGCAATCTAAAGGTTGGAAGTATAATCATAAAAAGTAAAACCCAGATGATTTACTCGGCTTTAGATAGACTCTTTTAGCCATTTCAACTGATGTTTGTCGTCCTAAATTTTCGAATTGTTTAGTATGTCATAAGGTTCGATGTCCTATCTAGGAACACCATTATCAAGTACCTAGTCATGCAACAGTTTCTTTCATGGAGGGTTTATCTATGATAAGATATACGGTATGTTTCTTGTTCCCCAGGACAGATCTGTCATGTCTGTTTGATTTTAAAATCGACCTTGTATCCACAATAATTTAAAGATTATCACATTTTCTTATGAGTTATTTGTATTGAATGACTTTCTGAAATCTGTGATTTTAAGTTGAATTATTTTGTTAGAGGCTTTATTATCACATGGGAATAGCGTAGACAGTTGAATATTAATTAATGATTCAGAGTAAACTTTATGATTAACCTGATGAATATTAGGTCCCTGTAGAGAAATCAATTTGTTTATTTTGATGACCAGGTAACTCAGCATGTAAGAATAACATTCAGCTATGATTATTACAACCTATAGTTTTATAGATGTTGTTTGGCTGATGAATTGTATTCACATTAGTATACACTGCCGTCGTGTAGGCTAGTTTGGAATTTACTAAGGCGTTATGGTTTACTGAAAATGAATCACGTTTGATAGACATTATGAATATGGGTAGTCAAGCTACACCTTCACCTTTAGTTGCAGTCAATTAACTTATTAGACAAGAGTATATAATTAGCCAGAGGTAAAGAACAGTGATTGACCAAGTGATCCACTGTTTTTAAATGATTTGACATTACACAAGTTCGCTTTTGCTACCTAAAAAGTGTAAGTTATTTGAATTGCTTATCTTTACGGGGAATAATTTACTTTGATGCTCAAAGTAGGTTATGAGAATTATGCATGGAAGATATATAGGAACTCAACATGGTTTCACTCAAGAATCAATGACATGATTCTATCCAACGCATTGATTTCGTTACCTTTAATCCTCCACTAACTGATGTTAAGTGTATCCCAATCAACAGTCTGAAAACACAAACTATAACCAAATGATTCGATTTATAACACCTGAGTCTGGAATCGTTTGGCGCATCAATCGTAGGCTTTTGAAAATCACTGGTTTTATCTGTAGTTATTACATATATTACTCTTAAAGCAGTTATATTGTAAAGCCATAAAGTGATGAGGATTTATTACAGTGCTTACTTTTTGCGTGACTGGGATTTCCTTGAAGTTTTGTATGGTAGATTCCCTACATACTATGATGCCAAATGGTCATTAGCTATATTAGCATTTTGACACATCCATTATATGAGCGACGGAAATGTGTCGTTTTCAAGAAGCAGTTCGAGTTAGGCAAAATAATCAAAGCTCCCAAGTATTAGTAATTTTTGTTGAACGGTTTAACACAACTATGCACACAGAATTAATGCTGAAGCGAAGAATTTATGTATCTATATATGACTTGATATCACAATGCACCTATCTCATTTTGAGCGGCCGTGAGCAATTTTTAAGAAGTCCTAGAATTAGGTTACATGCTAATTGTCATTTGTAAGCTGTGTCAGTAATCTTATGGAGGACTGATGCCCGTAGTAGTATTTGAACTGATTTCACTCAGTGTCACGTTCAAGGAGATCAGGGTCTCGGTAGAACTGAGATCAGTAATAAAGACTAGGCAGTAATAATTTATTAGAAGACGAAGATTATCAGAACTATGTGATATATTAGAGCAATACATTTCGAACAATCTGGTCACACATATACTTGTTAAGAGCATTTGTATATGTGTGACCAGATTGTTCGAAATGTATTGCGCTAATATATCACATATTTCTGATAATCTTCGTCTTCTAATATCATTATCGAAATTTATCAAAGGGACTAATTGTTTTAAAGTAATAATTTAGCTTACTATTCACTGATCAATCAATGGTAGAAGTCTAATACAGGAGTCAGTTATGATTTGAATACCTGTATGATATCGCCTTTGGATGTGATATTGGATGACAGTAGCTCGAATTCTAAATGAACCATCAATCCCCGCAAGGTAGATGCTCCTTGCTGACGAGCACCAATCTGCATAAAACTTAGGTCTAAGCCATCCTGCTGATTCCATCTTCCCATCTAACATTACAGAAGAGTGCTGACTTATTTAAGAAACAGCATGAATGTGGGTTGATATATCGAGGCCAATATATGTGAGAATAATCCATTAAGTTTGATCATTTATAAGAACGATATTTGAACATTATAGAAGGGAAAACTGAGAATTGCATGAACTGACTGTCATGTTAAAATTAGTACAGATCACATCAAATGAATAAATGTTTTCAAATTGATCTTAAAATGAGTACATGAAAATCATGCAAGTGAAATATTTATAGCAATATACCTTTAAATGTATAGATTAGATTTAAAACTTTTGACAGCTGTAGCACAGAATAACACTTAATTGTAGCTGAAGATGAACCGTATACCTGGGATGTTGTGTACTGGTTATATGGAGTTAGTGTAGTTAAGCTTACATTTCAAGATATGCTTGGTGATTTTGTAAATCAAATCGAACATATTCATAGATACATCACAGAAATCCTCAATAATTACAATCCTCGAAGAAATCTGTTTTCAGAGAAACAATATATAGATAGTCAAGATATGAACATCCAACAATTAGTGCTTACATACTTTCATCTTAACTATGATTTCTAGTCACCTTTATTGTTCATATAATGCATTATTTCTACGATAGTACATCATTCTACTTACATATAAAGAAAAGTGAGTAATTAACTTAGAGAGTAACACATGATATAGTTCTTTAAAAGAAAAAACCAATTGTTAAAAATCTATGGATAAAATAGGTTAATCCGAAAACTATAACTAATGGCCAAGAAAATATGTAAGAGAAATCCATTTTTTTAAATTTTTCTAATCCTGTTTTAGTACAAATTCCTATGAATTGTTTTTACTGTAAATAATAATTTTGACTCATGGAATGGGACTGATTTCGATTGCATTGTATACTTTATTCAGAAATCCTGTGAGCGGGATCCTGGATGCGCATTGCTGAGGAATCCCATGACAGGATGAAATAACCGTTTAATGCTTCCAGGTTTTCAATGGTGGTCTAACATCAGTCTGTTCATGATATCAATCAAAAACCTAAAAATCTCCACAACCTTATACTGATAATTACCAAGTGCTCACTGCTGACTAGCTTTGGGAGGGAATTTTCCGAGTTCTAGTGAGAAGCCGTGACTAGTGAAGTTAATCCGTGTCGGGTAGAGATAGGTATTTACCTCAGTATAATGGAAGATGGTCGCGCAATTTCGTGTATTGGTTGAGGTTAGACATTAACACCTTTGGGTGCCAGCTCAGTGGTCTATAGGTTAAGCATTCGTGCGCATGACCGTAGATCCTGGGGTTGGGATCCCGCTAGCGAGATTGTGGATGTACACTGTTGAGGAGTTTCATTCTATGACGAAACGGCCATCTAGAGCTTCCAGGTTTTCAATGGTGGTCTAACATCAATCTTTTCATGTTCTCAACCAAATATATTTTTTACCCATTAATCACAATCACCTATTTGAATCTCAAAGATTTTTGTGAAAAGTAAAAATGTAAGATCGAGATCACTCTATCTGAACAAATTACTCATACACTTTTTGTTTACAGAGTTTTGTAAAACGATTTATTTTTACTGTAATGTTATGCGATCATTTTTGATTCATTATTTAATACTACACTTCAAATAATCACAAATGATTGCCAGTTAACGATATGTGCCTGTGATGAAGTTTTCAAGTTCAAGTGTTTTATTTGTGCATTCGTTCAAGATTATGACTGATGAACTATTATGTGTAAATGAAGAAATCATGAATGAATGTGATCTTCACATAAAAAAGATAGTGGTTATCCATTTTGAATTGTCATTTACTAACATAAAAATTGGATACCTGTGAGTCATTTGCTGTATTCACTTCAATTAACTGATTGTTTGAAATTGAGTTTGAAGTTTATCTAGAACTTGATAGAATTATGAACTAATCGTATTTTGAATGATCGACCGAACTATGAAATGCAAATTTATTCCAGTCAGCACATACTGAACCGTTTTGTGATATGTTATTACTATGCTCTTGGAAAACACCGTACTTAAAACCTCCAGTACGATACTATTGAACTGCCTAGTTAGAATTAAGTAATCTATACTTACCATTCATGACTTAGCTTAATTAACATAAATTCTGGACGAAAATCATCTTCAAATAAAATAATATTCACTAGCCTAAATTAAGTAATGAAATAATTTTGTGGGTGATTTGACAATTGTATGGTAAGCTTAGTTCAAATATTCATTTTAGAAATTCATAAACTATCCATGATTCAGCCGCATACTATATTTGAGACTTTAACATTAAACCAATATAAGGATAAATAGACACTTCCAAATCAAAATCTAATGGAATGTCTCTTCATTCAGATTTGTAAACTTACGGAAATTATTGAAAAAAATACCCTAATTTTCTTTCGTCAAGAATTTCAGATACTCTAGTATTATCTTTTCACTTGATTCGTTATTAATCAGGACACTTCACACTAAAAAAAAAGATCCTTTTGAAGTTCAATTTCATATGACTAAAACGTTTGTATGCAAGTCAGAAGTAGATCTGACTCATCCGTATAATTTAGATTCGTATTGTTCGGCCATCTAAACACATTAGAACTAGTGTGTTGAATATCTATTTATCATCTCTATTGTACCTTATTTTTCTAGTAAACACTATTTCGTTAAGCTGTACAAATACACCAAGACGAGTCCAAGTTCTAGTTCTAACTTAATTTCAATGACTTGGACTATTTTGATTGAATAAATCCGATAGGTAGATGTTTAAGAAATTTTAAAATTTTTTAAAAATATGCTGGGTCTGACTTGAACCTATTATTTCGCTGTATGTGTACAGGATGTAATTGTCAAATTTACACCAAGCCCCTCTCTGTACCTTATGTTTGTATCGTGTTGCTACAATAGCTAATGCTTCTATCTTCATTAAATAAATTGAGTTGAATAGCTTCGAGACAGAACAAAGTGGCCTAATTGGGACAGACTAGTGGTAGTAATAAAATGAAATTGGTATGTCTCCTTTTGAACATTTTTGTCCAACATTAAACTGAACATTATGATTCTAAACTTCCAATGGTTACTGTTTAATCTGACATGTTTAAACTATGTTTAAACCAACACGTTAAATACAAGGGCTATTATTATAACATAGTAATCAAGTTTGTAATTTTAGTGTATAGATCCATTATCCAAGGTGATGATTTTGGTAATAAACGGTACACTGGAATAAAAATAAATACTTTATAGAACAAATGAATTGTGGATAACAAAGGAACCCAGAATTTAAATTTTCTCCTATTTGGAACTCGCTAATTGAATGTACCCTAAACTCGGTGTTGATGTTCACATTGACTCTTGATACTGATATTTAAGTATGTCCAGTTTAAGAGTCTTAAATAAGCTGAAGCGATCATCCTAGATTTCACAACTATCCACGATTCGTCATTCCTATCAAAGTTGTAGTAAAATGATTATACCGAGGTAATACACACAGGATGAACAAATTCCAATAAAGAACGATTAAAATTCAGCTATAAATATCAAAATTTTGATAATTTCATCTCTTTTAAATGATGATATACATATGTTGATTCTAAGTCTTAATTAGGACTCTTAGTTTTCACTGATAACCATTACTAAAAAAGCAATTCTATTGTAATTGAAGTTAATGTTAACGCTTCTGTACAATGATTTTACATCCTAACGTTAATAATAATAATAATAATAATAATAATAATAATAATAATAATAATAATAATAATAATAATAATAATAATAAAAGTAATAATAATAATGTTTTATCATATCACTTTCACTGGTTAAAGAGTGCAAACAGAATTATGGAATTGCTTCTATATTATACAATATTAAGGCTCATTAGTGAAATTAAACGTGTTAAGATGAGAGTTTTCAGCAAGATCATTGATGTTATTGATGGTATCATTTAACACTTCAAAAGTTCATAATGATGATATTAAATGATTTTACTTTTTATCTAACTCATTATGATAAACAATTTCTTATCAGAAAGGGTTTTGTGAAGATTTTGGTAATTTCAGTAGTTGAAATTATGATTCAATTGAAGTTAGACCATCATAGAAAACCTGGCAGCACTGGACGGGCCGTTTCGTTCTAGTATGTGACTCCTCAACAATGCACATCCACGACCCTACCCTCCGTGAAATTCGAACCAAGGACTTATCAGTCTCGCTCGCGAGCGCTTAACCATTAGATCAATGAGTCGGCATTCAACGGTGTTAATGTCTAACTTCAACCAATCCATGAAATTGCACACTGCTGAGGAGTCCTATTCTAGAACGAAACGGCCGTCCAGTGCTTCCAGGTTTTCCAAGATAGTCTAGCTTCAATTGACTCATGATTTCAACTATTGAAACAATTTCTTATCCATTGTTTTAATAATTTAATAGTTTTTTTTCTAAAATGATAAGCATGCTTATATATTGTAAACATTTAGTCATGTGGAAATTCAACCTTTCTACATTACATTTTACATATTTCTAATATAAGCTGGAAAATTTATTTTTATTATATATTCAATATTAATTAAATGGAATTTTCATTTTAATTATTAAATTATTGTAGTTGAGCAAGAAACATTTTAGTTAAGTATCATATTTAAACTAAACATTTTAAAGGAATTACTTGACTACTCTATTCAATTAACCAATTGTTATGTAATAAATTTTGGGTGTTATATTGTTTATTTAACCTGATTTTATCATTAATTTTTAATATTGTTACATTTCAATCTATTGTATCTGATTCACTGAAAGGTAAAGATGAAAAATAAGAAAAACCCAGTGAATAAATTCTTTATTTCTAGAGACAGAGAGAGAGAGTTTTCCAAAAAAATAGAAAATACGTAATGAATTTGTATTTATAGAAGGGGTTTGTGGAGATTTGAGAAATTTCACAGATTGAAATAATGAGTCAATTGTAGCTAGACCATCATGGAAAACCTGGAAGCACTGGACGGCCATTTCGTCCTAGTATGGGACTCATAATTTCAATCTGTGAAATTTCTAAAATCTCCACAAACCCCTTCTGATAATAATCATCTGCTCACTAATGACTGACTTCAAGAGATACTTCTGGAGTTCTAGTGAGAAGCCTTTACCAGTGGAGTTCAACCAAGTCTGCTGTGAGATATCAGCTCACTGAAGACAATGGTATACGGTGGCACAATTTCGTGGATTGATTGAAGTTAGATATTAACACCATTGGATGCCGGCTCACTGGTCTAGTTGGTTAAGCGCCTGGAGCGAGACTGATAGGTCGTGAGTTCGAATCTCGCGGGGTGCGGGATCGTGGATGCGCACTGCTGAGGAGACCCATATTGGGACGAGGCGGCCGTCCAGTGCTTCCAGGTTTTCCATGGTGGTCTAGCTTCAATTGACTCATGATTTCAATCTGTGGGATTTGTATTTTTTTAAAAACCCAACAACATCCGTTTATAGGAAATTACTGTGGAAAAAGAAACTGATATTAATTTTCTAAATTGGATACTATTTACCAGGTAAAATAGTTATTGTATACATAGATCAAAATGATCAGAAGAAAAAGAATGTTACATTTAGTGGGAAAGCGTCCATAAAATTATTTATCATTCGAGATTGGTTAAAAAAAAACCTTAGAATTAGAACATTTCATCAATCTCATGCCGGATGTTTATGTATATGGGACCAAGTTTAAAGTTGACATCTCTAAAAGTCTTATACAAAACGGAATAAATTTATATTGTGGTATATGATTTTCTGGTTTTCATGCTTAGTTATCAGTTTAAAGATGAATAAGAGACATTACCGTAATCAGTAAAATAGATGTCTTGTTCTAATAACTTTTAAAATTCTGATCTTAGTCAATGAAATCTGCATTCTTTTCTGTCCCTGTAAGGGAAACCATAGACTTAAGTTTCATATTAGCCGAGATTCGTTCACAAAGTGAATCTGCGATTTTCAAAGATGTGATGCTTTCTGCAAGATTCTAGCACAAAAAACATAGGCTGACGTATTGCCATCAATTGCATCCAACTGTCTAACAATTACCCACAGAAATCTTTGTTAGAATTTTTTGTTCTCTGAAGAAGTGACTTACACTAAGTCACGAAACGTCAGAAAATCCAATTTTCTACTCATTGGGATATTACAAATATATTATTTTTATTTATATCAAGGAAACTGTAGGAAAGGTCCCTTTGCTTACAAAGTTTGTCCGTAAGTACTGAATTTACTGTTTACAATTAAATTTTATTTCTTCATCAATTGAGTGTTACCAGTGAAACTCTGATCTTCATTCCTCGTAAGTACTTAAGTTAGTTTGACTGTTCTTGTCTGAAGTATCCGTCAGCTCATTTATAATATTAGACCAATCGCAACTTGTTTCTTTATAGATTTTTAACTTAAATTTTAATTAATAAGTTTACTTATCTTTCTTATTTACTCACAGTTAGATAAAAATATACCTGTCTTTTGTATTACTGATCTTGTGTTGTGCGCTACGTATATACATATAAGTAGTATATAACGATAGTCAGGAATAGAATGTCTGGCAGCAGAAGGTCGAGAAGGAAAGAACAGGAACGGAAAGCCATTGGTATGAACAATGAAACCTAAGACTATGGACTGATATTTGCAAAAGAAACAGTTAAGTTTGAGACAATGGACTGATATTTTGCAAATTAAGTATTTACTGTATTGCTCTCAGATTTTAGTGAGATGTTCTGTAATTATGTGTTCAAGAACATTCGATTGTCCCCAGTCTTTTTCTTGTTCACTACAATATTACTACAGAGGTTGGAAGAAAGCTAGGAGGGGCCAGACCAAAACATGGCACAAGTCCATGAAGTCACTGACAAGTGGACTGAGTCATATTGATAGGTGTAGACTACCTGGTTGGGGACCGCTAGACGATACCAACCGATGGTTAGAGGCCCTGAATGACATGGCTCAAAATCGTTTGCAATGGCGCAGGTGCATCCACTTTGTATTCTTCCAAATTCTAATCTTCTGAATTCTTCGTGTCCCTTTCTTTTTTCTCTTCCCAAATTTATTTCACTGTATTATACTCTTTAAATAACATCTCCAAACCCTAATTTTTCTGATTACAGCTTATAATTTTACTACATCTAACACTATGGGACTTGAATGGACAACTGCATCTGTGTGCTAATGTGGTGTGGCAACTCGAACTGATGTACGTACGTACGTAGTTCTACGTTGTTACTGACTGACTGACTACAGAGGAAATTTATTTATTTATGAGATTGTTTTATGTGAATAAAACATAAATAGTTGAGTGTGGTTGTACGTTATTGACTTCATTATTTATTGAGGCATTGAAAGTGAAATCAGACAATGACATCTCTCAAGAAAACTAGAGCTTGTAAAGTAAAAAAAACTTTCGAAATATATCAGATTTTGAGTTATGATTTGTCATTCAGCACCATTTCATTATGTATTCTCTTTGAAATGTTTACACTTTGTATTAAACGATACTATCCAAGTTACTGTTCATTATCTGATTGTCTTCCGTGTAAACACTTCATTTCTATTGACGTTAACCATCCTTATGGTCTTATAGGTACCGCGTTCTGTTTAGTAATCTAATTTCTTATGTATTATGTTATCCAATCGGTAACGAATATCCTAGGTTTATACCTCCGAAGATTCAACAGCGGATGATGACCCAATAAAAAAGAAACATCAAACACTTGCGATATACGACGATTATATCTCAGAAAGACATCGGTGACAACCAAGCTTGAAAAAGGTGAATAGAGAGTTCAATAATTTAAGGAAGTGATTAGAACATTCCAAATCACATAATCAGTAGCCGGAAGTTTTTAACTTTTAAAAGTTCAAAGATAAGTTGATTGACGCATGGAACAGCAATACTGCCGTCTAAATATTTTATTCCATTCTAGATTCTATTCAGTGTGTGATCGGAGTATGGAGTCTAAAACGAAATTACTTTTCAGTGTTCTTTAGTTCCTACTGGTTTTGCAACGGATGTCAGTCTTATTGAGAGAAAATTTTCTTCCTAAGAATTTAACTCCATTGATATACGTTTATAGTGAGACTTTGGAGTGTCTAATGATTTATGCACTTGTGATCCCTCTTCCATGAAACAAAGTAAGATCAAGGGTCAAATCGACAGATTGACAGGAATGTGTTTGAATTATTAAGAAATATGAAAACTATAGCCAGGTAAGTAAGACAGTAAGTAACTTAAAACATAATGGAATTCAATCAGTCTTCAGACAAACAAACAAAATTGTGTTCAAGGATTGTCAAGTACCTGAATTTTCACCAAATGGGGTTTTCTACAAATGCATGGTGATATTACTGCCCCTACAATTAAATAATACAAGTCAAGTGTATGGTGGTAATATTACATGAACCCTTGAACAAGTTATTAAATTTTTCACGATTTCATATTTTCTAGTTTTATTTGTATGTTCAAAGTTTAGTTGAGAACTTTGTACACAATTGTGTCAAATTTTATACTTTACGTATTCGACTCATTTTGGTTTGATGCTTCAGTATATCTTCCCGTAAAACCTCTCGTAGTTGACATTTTGCTGTCCCATTATTGGTTCTGGGCTGTTTAGGAGTGTAATTAGCTTAAGAATTCATGAGATATTATTAGAAACTGTTCATATGTAGAGTTTGGTCACAGTCAAACAACCTTATTACTAAAAGGGTTTATATAAAAATGAATTAACTGAGTGAATAAATTATATGATAACTAATTTTGGATAATTAAAAAAGAAATAAATAGATTCACAAATAGAGAATAAAATATCCATCAATAACATTTCAAAATTATTTCTATGACTTGTAAATCTGTGTATGATGAAAGACTTTACAGCCACTTTTTTTTTGAATAAACGTTTCTGATATTAATTCAGCTGATAGCATCAGTAGTT